AACAGTTGTAGTATCGTTCAATTACCCTAGGTAAGCTCATTTGTTCGATTCTAGAATTTCTGAAATCATTGTCTCGAATGCAACAGTAATGGTTGTCCATTTCGCTGTCATTGACACGACAATAGCATTGTCCCACCGTCTTCATTGTCGAATTAAGCACAATCACATTTGTTCTTTACCCAGGCGTTCACCATTGTTTTTGGCCACCATTCGTGCCCTTAAATATCCATCAATCCTCCCCTCTCTCTCCCTTCATTCCTCAGCTCACACCACTTACACAGAACGCTTCCAAACCTTAACTCCTATTTCTAGCGCACACGACCACAGTCACGAATCAATCCGATCAAAGCTAACCCAAAACACTTCGTCCGGAACGAAGCACCAACACGTTCCCAACCACAAGATGTCTTCAATCATGACCATTCTCTCCTTCTCGGCCCTCGCTCTTTTCGCCTCCACAGCCCAGGGTCACATGGTCATGGCCACGCCTCCGCCATACGGCAGTCCCGACAATAGTCCCCTCAATGCCGATGGTTCAAACTTCCCGTGCAAAGCCACGAGCAACTCTGGTGGAACAGTCACCAATATGGCTATCGGTGCCTCACAGAAGCTCTCCTTTTTGGGTGAGTCAGTCCATGGTGGTGGTTCGTGTCAAGTTTCTCTTACCACGGACACGCCTGCAACGAAGAGCTCTAAGTGGATGGTTATCCATTCAATCGAAGGAGGTTGTCCGGCTAGAAATCAGGCGGGTAATATTGGAGCAGATAGTTCCGCCTCCGCTCCTGACCCGGACACATACGATTTTTCTATTCCTGCAGGTATTACTCCTGGCGCCTACACCCTTGCATGGACTTGGTTCAACAAGGTGGGTAATCGTGAGATGTACATGAATTGTGCCTCCATCAAGGTCACTGGGGCTTCAAGCAAGAGAGAGACTTCTCTCAACGAGACGGAGGAGTACGCAATTCCCGAGCTTGCCGGACGTGCAACGGCTTCATTCCCTGACATGTTCGTCGCAAACATCCCGGTTACGGACTGCACGACGGCCGAAGCAACAGATGTAAAATTTCCATCTCCTGGTTCGTCGGTCGAAATGGCCAGCGCCAATAAGGCCGACGTCTTGACTCCTCCGACTGGGCCCAAGTGTGGAGCATCTGGCAGCTCGTCAAGCGCTTCCTCAGACACTCAAGCTTCCAATGCGGGTAGCTCTGGAGCTTCAGGCGCCGCTGCACCTGCATCATCTCCAGCAGCCTCTGCATCTGCCGCCGCACCCTCGATGTCTGCTGCTGCTCCCGCTGTCGCTGCCTCTCCCTCCGTGGCTGCTGCTGCTCCCTCTGTTGCCGCCTCTCCCTCCGTGGCTGCCGCCGCTCCCTCCGCCGCCGCACCCGCTTCCCCATCTTCCGCCGCCGGTTCAGCTCCTGCAGCTGTTGACAGCTCATCTGGCTCGAGCGCTGCACCAGCTTCTGCCTCGGGCACGGCATCGACTGGCTCCTCTACCGGCTCTTGCGCCACTCCTGGCCAGTCAGTCTGCTCGCCCGACGGATTACAGATCGGGACGTGCACGACACAATCTACAGTAACCTGGATACCTGTGGCGGCTGGTACAAAGTGCGTTGGCGGGTACATGGTCGCCGCAAAGGGCAAGCGTAGCGCCAAATTTTTGAGCGGCTACTTCTTCTGAAGAGAAGCTCATAAGATTGCCAAAGGCATTTTCCTCCACAGTGTGGAATAACATCTACATACACTCTGGATGGTTGCTTTGACCTTTTTTCCAGTGTGAGAATTTTGATTGCATGCAGTTCTTAGTACATACAGTCTGAATGGTGGGGAATAGGATACTTGGGTATCATTTCGCTCACTACATAGAAGCAAAATAGAAGAAAACTGGCAATGAACATCCTTCCACCTTGCCCATAGTGAGTCCCATGACAATAGGCAATTAACAACGTGAAGGGCGAAACATTATCATAAAGTTTGGCCTATTGCAGGCCACCGGGACGCAATAATAGGGCGCAATATGGTATCGAGTCTCGATCGAGAGGCCACTTGGGGTCTGGAGTAACTCGATTTGCGCCATTTTTAAATTTTTTTAAAATACCAAGTAACATAGCGTAAAAGCAGGTATGGTGTTGATGTAGGAGCTTGTGATTCTGTTGGGGATATATACAATGTGATTGAAGTCGCAAAAAAGACGAGCGTCTTTTTTTTATATGTTTGGCCTGTACTCCTAGTGCTTCCTTGTGCTCCGACTGATCTCCAAAACTATTTTCAAAAATACTCCATCTCTACTCCTCCCTATACTCCTCTTTCGAGTCTCGGCTTTCACTCTACTCTAAAAATCAATCATGAGCCTACTTACCCAAGCAATTGCTCATGTATGAGACTTTGAACAAGGTCTGAAGTTCAAGGCTTGGTGCCTTGATGCCAAGATTGACTAGTCTAGTAGAGTCCGGCAGTCCATAAGTCCGAGATGCAAGAGACATGAAATGGCGTAGGTAGGCATCCAAATTTTAGTGTACTGACACTGTGCATCTGCCTTTACGTGCATGTACCTTTCACTTCTGTCCATATAATGTCATTCACCGGCCAGGATGACCCATTCTTACAGGCTCAGGCGTAGGTCAATCGCAAGCAATAAACAGTCAGAAACTCACGATTCTCCTCAGTGATGTCCTATCCACTTTGAAGACCACGAGATCATTATTCTCCTCCTACCTTCGAATAAGATCTCTCGCCTCATCCGCATCATCTCCTGAGCTGGCACAAGCTCGCAGCGAGCTCGAGTCCACCGTCCAAGATCTCAGCACAGACCTACAAGACCTAGTAGACAGCGTAAAGGCTGTCGAAGGGGATCCTTTCCGATATGGATTGGATATTGATGAGGTGGGGCGAAGGCGAAAGCTGGTACAAGATGCCGGAGGTGAAGTTGAAAGTATGCGGCAAGAGCTCGCAAAGACCGTTATTGGCGCCCAGAGCAAAGGCCAAGGCATGAACGGAACACTGCCCCCACCATCGGCTTTTGACCCAGATGAACCTGACGGCGATGATTATGGCGTCTTCGAACAGCAAAGACAAGTTGAGATGATGCATGAGCAGGATGAGGCGCTAGATGGTGTATTCAAGACCGTGGGAAATCTACGACAGCAAGCAGACGAGATGGGTAGAGAGCTTGAAGAGCAGGGAGAGATGCTCGAAGATGCGGACAGGCTGGCCGATAGAGTGGGAGGCAAGCTGCAGAACGGCATCAAGAGAGTTGGCTGGGTCATAAAGAATAACGAGGGTATGAGGACCTTCGATCAATCACCCCCGCGGCTAAGCGACTAATCGCGTCTCAGATACATGGTCAAGTTGCTGCATTGGCATCCTGATATTTGTCTTGATACTTCTCCTCGTCCTCGTTCTCATTCTGTGATCGTTTCACATACGCCGTCATACCCACATGGGGACTCCCGGAAGCCTGATGGCGGATCTACAACGCTGAGGATGCTATGCCGGTCATTCACTTAGCAAGGCACACCACAGCTTCGTGCTGAGAAACAAAATCTCGGCACCCTAGCTCATTTACTGAATTAGTTGAGACAGGCGACTGTCCAATGGGGACCATGCCTCGAGCAGAGCCATAACCTTCGTTTGCAAGGTCTCGCGTCATTTCGGGCCGTGCCCAGCTTCTACGACACTGCTATTGCCACTCCAGCCCCCAAGGCTCAGATGAAGCTATCAAGAGCCGAGAGAAAAGTAATGTGAGCGATTGCTCCGCAGAACCACTCATCACCCAGTCGCTGACCAGATCCTCTTGTAGCTCTTCTCTGAGACGCAAAATCGCCGGAAACTGTAGGTTTCTGAATGCACATACCACGCAATCAAGACGTTTAAGTTCGAGAAGCGAAAGGGTAGTTCAAAGGAGGGAATCTACGTCTAAGGAGGGGAGAACATCATTGCTCGAGGAGCCTGGCTTCATCGAGAAAATTTGAAGCTTAATGAAGATATGAGGACATGAGGCAAGTTTGCCGTTCTCGAAAATGGCTCAATCTTTGATAAAACAAATTATTCCGTGAAGTATTCCTCTTTGGTATCGTAGCTTATGCCTGAAATGTTCAAGGTTTAACTTCTTCTGCGCCACTCCTTATACTTGCCGTCTCCACAGACTCCCCAGTCACAGGTTTCACTTTCTTCACTTCTCCAGACCCCCATTGCGCTTGATATCTCCAGTCCCAGATCTCAAATTGCGTTCCAAAATCTCTCCCCACGGCCGGCAAACACAAGTACAGCCCTTCGACCGCAATGAGCAACACGACCCATGTCACATGCTCTCCAGGCACACTCTCTACCGTAAGCTTCAAGGGCAAGTTGTTCGTCGTGAGGCCTCCTGCCAGGTTGCGAGGAGAGCCGGATGTCTCCCAGACGAAGGGGTCATCCTTGGGGCCAAGGGGCCCACCGCCGTGACGACTGATCTCGTCATTGATAAATTCATGGATCCTGAGGAGAGTGCTTCCAAGGATTTGGCCGTCGATAGGATTAGTGGTTCTGACGTGCAATTCGATGGTGGAGTGCGGGACACGATAAACGAATATTTGGGCTGCTGCGAGAGAGTTGTTCGAAGTCGTATATCCGTTAGTCGAGAAGTTGCTGGGCAGGGCGGGTAACCCGGGATTATCGTTGGTCGGTACTGTAGGCAAGCCGATGGGCACGGTGGAGGGAAGAACAGCTCTATCTAGGTGTCAGCTGAACTCGATGGATCAGGGACCTGCAGGAACAAGTTGCCTGCCTTTTCGCAAGTGGTAAAGTCTCGAAGCTCGGGGCAGCAAGAGCTCCTGGCGCGGGAAAGACCAACAAAGTCAGCGGGAGCGGTATGGTCTGGAGGCACAGATGGAGATTATTAGGAAGAATCCGCATTTCGACAAACAACTTGATGAAAAGATTAGCAATGAAAAGTCCGAGCATGCTGCTTGCTGCATATCTGAAAGCAAGGATGACCCCAGTTGCGCGAAGACAAATCTTTGCGACCCGAAGTCTCCAAATGTCATGGCGAAATCATTTCTCCATGCTGAATACGTGGCGGTTGTGTCGCGTTGGGTGGTGCAGATGAGTCTGGGATGAGACAGCTCTGCGCATGCGGATAAACAAAACTCATAGTGGGTCGATCACCATAACACGATTTCTTCTCGCAATCGTACCAGAGCTATGTTTGTAGCCAATGAGGCCAAGCTCACCCAGCCGTAATCACCGCCGCACCAAGTGTCTTAAACATTTACATCGGTCGGTGTTCTGAAGACTCTTCTGAAAGCCTCGAATTGAGCCGCGCGATGAAGTTTGCAAGCCAGAACACAATGAGTCGAGGGTGAAATGGACTTTCACATTAGCAAATCCCTTAGTGAATAGACAGACCTAAGCAAGTCGACAAACCACACCGTACCGCTTTAATACCGAGGCTTACAATGCTCAAGCACTTCCGAGGTTCAGCTGCTGTTTCACCCTTCCCAGTGGTAATTAGGTATCCTAAACTCTGACAACGTGGAGTATCTCTCAGATGTGAGCTGCTGGAGAGCATAGCAGCCGTGGAATTGTCAAAAAGAATCACAAATTGAGAGGCTGAAAATAGAACCCAGCATCACGAAATGATGAGGGAGAGTCTCAGTGAGTACCCGATTCAGTGTGATAGATAACATCAGGACGACATGGAAGAGAACACTACGGTCTTACTCAAAGCATACACTCTCTCCATGCAGTCCCTAATCGTTCCTTATCCCGCTCTTCGTCCAGCCTCCCTCGACAACAGCTTCCCTTGCCACATTGTTGATGATGCTGAAGCGATCAGGCCCTAGCTTGACCCCGCCGTACCATCTACTGACGACGACTAGCACGTCCCATACATCCATGATCTTCAACAATTGTAGTAGCCTTCCTCCAGCTGCATTTTCTCCATCGTCATCACAATCCTCGTACAGTACCTCACTTGCTGATTTGGCAGTGGAGGGAGCACGGATACGGTAGGCTGTTGGGTTGTGACTGGCTTTGGCAGTTCGTTTATCATTCACGAGGAGGTGAGCTAGAAATGCCTGCGCTTGGGCTGGCGATGTGACGGAGCAAGCCCTAGCTACGAAGGTCGACTTCTTCTCGGTGACGGCTGAGGAGAGAATCCAGCGAGGCTCCTCCCCAAGACCACAAGTGACAGGCGGGGCGGCTTTGAGCACAAGACGGGCATCATCCTCAGGATCGGCCAGGGAAGACTGCTGACCATTGGAATCCTCGGCCAACACGGTATCAAGCTCCTGCAGTAGATCGAAGAGGCAGACTGAGCCTGAAATGAATACCGAGAGTAACGTTGCTCGTGCAGTATCTAGTACATGGCTCCCGTAACCCTTTCTCGCCTGCGCCCCGGTTCTTTCTATGCCTAGCAGCTGTGGTATTGACTCAGGATAGTCTGACGGGAAGAGCACGCGCAATGAGGCCTCGACATGGGGAATCGATAGGATGTAGACAAAAGCACCATCTGCTTCTCGTAATACATCGTTGCCATAAATTGACTGAATAGCTTCTATCTCGTCAAGTAGATCTTCGGACATCCTGCCCCAACAGCCTCTGTTGTTATCTGTTGATAACCGAGGTTGAGGGCAAACAGACCGTAGGATTCGCCACAATGAAAAGCTTCAACTGGCTTCCCCATAATCTCTCGAGAGGTTTCTCAATTGCTGCGCGGTAGTTGGGTGGAGACGGTTTGTGGAAGACTGAAGTCTCCCAGTACCTAAGGTACACATTCTACGGGCGTAAGACTAAACCCCTAAATGGACTAGTTTCAATATCGCGTCCAGTCGCGCTTCAACTGTTTGGGGTATTCGAATGAACGTCAACCATTGACTTCTGTTCCAGTTTGATGGCACACAATGCGGAAACCAGCTTCTTGGTTGATAGACTGATTAAGGCCTTAATCGGAGATCCGTCAGAGGCTGACGTTGACCGCTGTAAGCGTTCAGCATTGCGCACTCTGGCAAACAGTCATTCTCCGCGTATCAATCAATTCGAGATCACTGCTCGATTGGAGGGTTTGGAGGAGAAATGGAGGATCCTCAACAACGATGTACTAGCTGACGCCTTGGATCTGCGACGAGCAGAACTGTCCGTAACGTCAAACAGATGGACTCCGGAGATTTTATCGCTTTTTTTACAGCTATCGGACAGACCAACTGACCATCCAAATCTTGCGCATCTGGCATCGCTGAAGCCTGAGCTTCCATCTGCGCCATTGACATGGGCCGATATCGTAGCTGAAGACCCATTGGATGACCAGGATGGTATCTGGAAGAATGTGGATTTTACGGCAGATGATTCGGACGATGATGAGCGGATTGAATCATTTCACTCTGATCCTTCAGTACTCACGCCGGAGTCCAGCGTAATTGGACAAGAGGTCGGAGCTTGCATCGAAACACTGATTGAGCCTATTTCGCCTCGGGAAGTTCAAATTGCGCACATCTGGAATTCGCAAGATGCCGATAAGTTTGACTTGATTCGCGAGGAAGACGAAGACCGTAGGCCAAAGACGATCTTGACTGAGCTGCAGGCGGGACGGGAAGTCATCTTCTTACTCCTTGGGTTACCAACGTCTATCTTCAGTCAAGGGGACGAAGGGCAGACTACCGTGTCGAGAGCGGATTTTCTAGAGCATGCCTCTCATGAATCATTGACTAGTCTATTGGCAGGATTTGCTGTAATTGCTAATAAGCTGCTCAGCGTCCGACAGTGGGTTGGAAAGGACGAGAGGATTCCACTCGAACAGACTTTTCAAGCGACCCTTACCTCACGCCTAAAGATTGTTGACCGTGCCTTGTCTGCAATACAAACCAAGATCCTCTCCCTTGGTGCCCAATCATTTCCAAGTCTCTTGGCGCTCTACGATGAGACTTCCAATATCAGCCGACTCTTACTACAGGTATATGACGTTTTGCTGGAATTGGACGTTCATCCAAAGCTCGAAAGGCCTTTCCGCATACTCGAATGCTTGTTCGATAGAACATGTATCAACCAAGGCATTGGAGATGCAGAAGGTTATGAGTACATGGCCAATCTGTTCTTCGACTGTTTTCAGACGTACCTTAAGCCTCTACGATTGTGGATGGAAAAAGGTCAGCTCACAGGGCGCGATGGGGTCATATTCATCAAAGAAGACAAGAAAAAGGTTCATTTGAACTCCGTGTGGCAAGATTCATATCATCTCATCAAAGATAGCAATGGTGTCTTGCACGCTCCAAAATTTCTCCATGTAGCCGCGAAGAAGATTTTCAATACTGGCAAAAGTATCGACTTTCTGAGACGTTTGGGGTGGGAAGACCATGATCTGAAACAAGATCCGGCAAAAGAGCTTGCATTGACCTACGAATCTGTCTGTCTGTCAGCGGATCTTGGCCTGTTCAGTCC